CGCTGGCGCTCGCGTGTGCGGCGCGGCGCGGCGGGCCCGGCTGAGTTACTGCCGTGGCATCTGCGGGAAGGAAGGCCGGGCTTTAGACAGCTGCTCGGCTTGAGAGGGAGGACAGGCGTGAAAGCTTAACGGGATCAGAGCCTTTTTTACTGCTGTAGCACGGCAGGGATGGGTGACTCGTGCACAGTCTGTCAGCAGTTCTCCAGCGATGGGACCCCGTCTCGCCTGTGTTGCCAGACCAAGAATGTGTTAGTGGGCAGAGGGGCTCTAATTTACGGTCCAGTCTGGCAAAACCCTGTGTTGCATCAGGAGGCTGGGGGAGCACTGGAATGGGCTACCTAGGCCCACGGGCAGCTGGTGCCTCCTGAGCCTGGGGGGCACCCAGAGAAGCTGCCGGCAGCTGCAGCGGTGCGGGGGGGGCATGTGCCCCCCCCACCAGTAGTCTACACCTAAGCCAGCATTTCTCAGCCTGTGGGTTGCAAACCAAAAGCAGGTCATAAGAACATAGGAAAGGATCATGAACAAACTTTAAAAATGGATTCTTCTTTGAAGGAGAAAAACGTGGGAAACTGTGGCATTTCCCCTGTGGGCTGGCAGAGTTCCGGCCCCACAAACACCCCTTCCCCCATACACCCACCCCCGCCCACACTCTGGGGGCAGCAGGTCAGGAGTGAGGGGCACTGGGTCAGGACTGGCCATCAATTTTTTCAGTTGGGTCCTGGTACAAAAAAGGTTGAGAACCACTGACCTACAGAAGTGGTGGAATCTCCATCCTTGGAGGTTTTTAAGCCCTGGCTGGAGTCTTTAGTTGGGGCTGCTTCTGCTTTGAGCAGGGAGTTGGACTAGATGACCTCCTGAGGTCCCTTCCAGCGGTAACTTTCTATGATTTCTCCCCAGGTGTAAGGTTAGATGGTATGGCAAGGAAAATGGTTGCTTAGGTTACCTATCCATGCCAGTATTTCATAGGTCTATTTGCAGTGTGGTTTAAAGATTTTGACTATAAAAGCCCTAAAACTAAAATATGTTCTGTCAATACAAAGCCAATTTCTTTTCCACGCGCCTGCTTTGCTACACAGATAGGACTGATGTACGGCATACTTGTGTGCATAAAGCACATATTGTATTTGTGGGTGTGGAATGTTAAGAAGTGGCTTGAGGGATTTACATCTATGGGTTACACGTTAGAGGATATGAATGTGCCGTGCTGGTCTGCTTCCACAGGAAAAAAAATTAATGCATTTTTCAACTGAAAATAGAGGCAAGGGTGATCTTCACATACTGTTTCAAATTTCTCTTCACCTGTTAAAACACTGGTGTCTTTTCTACATTTTGAGGGAAGCATGTCCATATCCCTTTCCTCGCAGACAGCTCCCACCCCGAAGCATCCTTGTGCCCGAGCCAGCCCTGTCAGTGTCTATACCTGTCACAGTGCACTAAACAAGTACACAACAGTACTTGTGTTTACAAGCACTCACCTACAGCGGTGTCTATTAGTTTACTGCAGCCTAATAGGGTTGTGCATGATAGAGGCTGAGACTTTACTGCGGAGCTGATTAGGCAACTCCACAGTAAACGTCTCATGTAGATGTACCCTGAATCTAGTAATTTGCTGCCTCTACTTCTACTGAGAGGCTGTTTCAGAATATCCCTGCTCTAGTAGTTAGAAACTTCCATGTCTTCAGCCTTTATTTATTCATTTACAAGTTTCTACCCACTTATTCTTGTGCCAATGTTGTACTTTGCATTTCTGATGTTTATATCCCTGATGTATTAATTGAGAACAGTCATATTTCCTCTCAACCTTGTTTGCTAGGCTAAAAGCCAAACAAGAGCTTTTCATTCCTCTCCACTCCCCTGAGATGGGGGTGGGGCTCCAATCCACCTGCCCTGCCCTGCCCTGCCCTGCCCCTCCAGTGCAGGTGGGGCAAATCCCAGATGGAAACCCCGTTCTGAAGACAGCACTGGGGGCAGTCTGAATCCTTGTGTAATGAGGATTCAGATTGTTGTATGATTGAACATTTTGAAAGCACTCTTCAGTCAGTGCATGACTGTAGAGCAGGGGTCCGATCACACAACAAACCGTCAGTATCAGTGCCCTATATTGTGGCCTTCCTTTCTTACCTCCACCTGGAACTTGTTACAAAGCCTAGACTGGTGGCACCCTAGAAACAACCCAGCAGAAAGAGAAGTAATGTAACAAATGACACCTGATACAGAGGTAATTGCCTACCTGTTCACATTGTGTCTTTTTGTCAGGCTATTTTAATACAACCAACACAAAACAACTTTATTCCCCTTCTTTTGCTGCTTGATTTCCTTTCTGTAGTCAGATGGGTCTTCCTCCAGTGATCCCCCAAAGAATGCCTGTGGCAAAGACCGGCCCATTGGCTTCTAATGGGGATTTAATCTCTGTGATAACTTCTCTAGCCTCAGTTTCAACAGCACAGTGTTGTGTCAGCCATGCTAAAATTCTGTTCTTCTTGGGAGAGTTGTTATGGATAACTTGGGGTTTAGTTTTGGGACCCAGCTGTATCCTATATACCCTTTCATTCAGTAGGGCATTGAATTATTCCTCAAATTTATCAGCTCAAGACTCCCATTCTCTCTTCTTCCTCCCAGGTTTCTGGAACCAGACCAGGTCTCCTCTTTAAACTTTGCTCTTTAGGGTGTTACATAATAATCTTGACATTGTATCAAAAGCTTTCATCAGTTTTTCCCTGAAAGAGGTATGAGCGTTTTCAACCTTGGATTCTAGGGTTTCTACATTGTCCAATCCTTTTGTTCTTCAGGAATTGCACGTAAGGTTTGCCAATATTCTTGGCTGATGCCCAAACTCGAGTATACTTTGTAATTCCAATGACTGCTCTTTTATAAGCTAACAAAAGGAAGGGGATATGCTAGTATCAGCTCCTGTGGTGCTGTTCTACAAAGATAGCCAGCTGAACCCCAAGAGTGCTGTTAAACTGTTTGCTACTGCACCAGTTAGTTTGTGGTTGTGCCAGAGTGGTGAAGGGTGTGTGATTCCTGCTACTGTCACAGCTTCAGGGTTGCTTATTGCTAAGTTTCTGGTCATCTTGCAAAAGCACCTGTAGCCATTAGAGAATACTGATTGCTGAACTCTGCTCAAACCTGAGTACATCAACTGCAACTCCACTGATACTCCCAATGGAGAAGCTGCTGGCTGGGGGTTCTCCCAGTCTTAGGGGACCCATTGCAGAAATCAAGCATCAGATTTTATGTACCAGTTTTCTACATCCTGCCTATATTTCACGCTATAGGGATCATCTCCTAGGTTAACTAAGATTCCTGCAGCCCAAGGTCCAGTGTTGTTAAATTCAAGACATCCTCAAGCCATTCTTTTTCAATCTGTTGGGAAGAAACTAAGATGTCTGTACCAATCATTTGCTGTTTTTCAATGTTGTCCTAAGGGGATGTTGCCTTTCAAAGTATCCATGTTCCTTTAAAATTTATCTCAGGGGAACTTAGGGACAATAAAAGTTAACTGTTTCCCATAGTGTTTGTGTTATTGCCAGTTTCCTTCTGGTTTTACAAACCATATTTATCAGATGTTCTGATAAACCAGATTCAAATTTCCTTTTCTGTCACACACATGGACATGGAACTACTACTTGGCACAGCACAATAAACAGTATTAAGTTCTGATCTTGCAGTTGGCTGGGTGCAGTTATCCAACCTGTGTCTGTCATTTGGGTTGAACCCAAACTATTTTTTTCTGCCTAGCCACTGAGCCAAAAAAAAAAAATCAATTAGTCATACAGCTTTAATTCCATGTACCTCTCCCAGGCTAATTTGTTCCACTCCCCTCTCTGTTATCTACACAAATAATGATACTCATTCAAGTTCATTTTCCATTGTCTCTATTCCCAGACCCACTGCAACTTCAAATCCTAAACAATCTAAATGTCACTCTATGTCCAGATATTTGCCCCCATTGCTTACCTAGTTCTTTTTCCTACACCCATACAATAGTTTGTACCTTTTCTATCTGTAGAACTGTTTTTGCAGTGCCCCCCCAATTCCTGCGGAGTCAAAAAACAAATACTGGGTCATTTTGCCTTTTTCATGGTTTCTCTGGTATAGCTGCCTCACTGCATTCTGGCAGTAGGATGCTGGAAGGCAGTTAATCTAGCCACGGTCTAAGATGGAGTAGCCTGAAGAGCCTCAATTCACAAGAAGACTAGGCAAGGCCTCTTAAAGATTGTCTTCTATTAACTTTGTCAGGTCCTTCAGTTTCCTCAGACCTCTGCAGTTTGGTTAATAAGAAAACTATGTGCAACATCAGAGATGCTTGAAAAACAAAACTAGCTCTTTGGAAGACAAAGCATACTTTCCATTTGAAAGAAAGAATGTGAAATTATCAGTGGGACAGTCTAGAAAAGTATGGGCCAATTGACTATAAAAGTGAGGCCAGATGTGATTTACTGCAATAAACTGTTTGCTTTGGGACAATGAAGTGGTAACGCTGACAGAGTAGTATTCCATTTGACTTTACAAGCTGGATGCTTTTTTCTTTTCAAAAATGATAACTGCTCAGCTGGAAGTAAAATGATTTCTCATGCTGCCCTGGAAACAGACATTAAGTTACTGCAGTAATACTTCTGGAAAAGAAACAGCTAATGGAAAGGATCTGATGGAAATATAGGAAATTAACTCAAATATTTCAAGCTTCATATACAGGCAAGTGGCTTCTGTTGGCTTCAGTGAACACAGCCAAGGGAATAATTTTGCCCTAATACAAGAACACATAAGATCCATTATTACATACACAGTTGAATGGAAAGAATGAGTGCATCATGTGGGCCTGATTAACGTCACTCCTTGTTTAAATTATTTTTCTGTTTGACATTGATTCCCGCCCCCTCCCCCCCATTTCATTAACTGAATATGGTCATATATTCTAAGAGGAGAGAGTTATTTCTGTTTCTACAACAGTTTATATTGATTCAATTATCCACAATAAGAGAGCCCATTTATTTCTTTAAATGCAATTTGTCAACAGGGAGAACACATTGTATTTGAGTGACCATTCAATGAAACTTAGCTGGAACTTTATATCAGTCTGTCCCGGTGGGGGTGTTGCTCTAGATGTAAACAGACATGAATCAAATTAACTAAAACTCAGAATGTATAAGTGATGTGAGCAGGTTAGTTCTAAGTGACTGAACACAAGTTACAATGGTCCAAAACAAAAAGCAGACTTGTTTCTTTTCTGTTACACTAACATGTGTACAAATATTTGTGTAACAACAAGGCAGGCATTTAACAGCTTTCCAACAGCTAGGGCCCTGAACCTTTGGGAGGGGGAGGGGTCTAAAAGTTGCAAAGAACTGCATGAGTAGAGCAAGAGCGATACATAGGTGCTTGGAATATGGATCCAGAGATGCACGTGGTCTATGCACTGTTGTGTAGACTAATCTTGGACATGAGGGACAGAGCCAGCCAGGCAGGAAACAGTTCTCCTATCCCAGTACATTTTTGAGGAGTAAAAAATGTCTACATTCTACATGAATAGACTTCTGAGGATAGAGGACTGAGGATAGAGGAGTGGGGACAAAGAGGGGAGCACATCTCAATCTATTTTCTTGGACTTTTTTCATAAATACGTAAATATTAAGTGATCTACAGACAAGGGAATTGATTCAATAGCAGTGGTTAGATCATTCAACCTGCAGCATGTGTGGCCACGGGTGGCAAGGGCAGCCTTTGTGTGTGGCATGCAGCAGATCAAGGAGGAGGCAGGAAGCATAGAACAACAAGTAGAAAGCAGAGCAGCAAACTGAGTAGGAGCAGAGAGGCAGTTCAGTAGAGGTGCACTGATACATGGGTCTGATATCGGATTGGCACCGATATGAAGAAAATTGGCTGTATTGGAAGTCGGCCTGATGTGGCTGATAATGTGGCCAATAAATGGTCCATGCATGCACACAGCTGCAGTGCAGCACATATGCGGCAAGCAGCACAGCCCAGTAGCTTGGTGAGCTGCCTGCAGTTGGTAAGTCTGTTGTAGTGGATGGGGAAAGGAGAAGGAAAGGCGTGTGGGGTGGCAGATCAAGGCCTCCACAGTGTGGAAGTGAGTGGGAGTGGGGCTGGGGCTGGGGCTGGGGCTAGCGCTGCCCAGCTGGGATGGGGTGGGGCAAGAGACAGTGCTGTGGCTCATATGCGGGGCGCGTGGTAGGCAGCTTCCGCTGCTGCACGCACCCCAGGAGGGCACGGGGGAGGGGGGGTGTCCCCTGGATCTGTGTGCGGAGCTGGGACAGGGCAGGCTGCAGCTGCAGGCTAGGGCCAGGGCTGTTCTAGGCTCTTCCTGGCAGGAGCGCTGGGTCGGGCTGCGTTTGGGGCGGGTGGCAGTGGCACTGGCAGGGGACTATGGGGGGGCTACGGTGAATTTTGGGGAGGCTACAGCCCGCACACCCCCAGCCTGCAATGGCAACCCCCCAGCACAGATCCATGGGGCACATGCCCCCCTGTTCCCTCCCAAGGTGCACACAGCAGCAGGAGCTCCCCCCCCTCCCCCCGCCCACACACACACACTTCGGATGAGCTGCAACTCCATCCCGTGCCCCGGCCTGGCTGGGCATCGCCTGCCCTGGCCCCTGCCCTACCCCCACTCCCTCCCTCACAATGGGGGCCTTGACCAACAGACTTACCAGCTGCATGCAGCTCTCCACACTGTATCAGAAATTGGATTGGCATTGGCCGGTATGCCTCCTTAAAAATCAGCTATCAGTATTGGGCCCAAAAATCTCTATCGGTGCACCCCTACAGATCAGGCAAGAGAAAGAGATTGGTATGGCTTTCAGGGAGGGCCACCACCGAGCTAAGATATGAGCAACAGGTTCAAGTTTCTGAATTAGGCAGAATAGAGCCTTGAACCTGGGATCCCATATTCCCAAGAGAATGTCTTCACTATTCTGGGGTGATTCTTTGTTTTGAATAGAAAATTAATCTTGAAGCCAGCTAACATCCCCAGTGAATTTTCATTGAAATCAATTCTTTCCATTAAAAGTTTAAATTTCAATTGCATTGCCTACCAGCTGTAACTGGGGACCTGATCCAAGTCCATTTAACTCAATGGACAGACTCCCATTGATTTTACTTGGCTTCATATTAGGCTTTAGCTGTTGTTTTTTGTCTTCAAAATTCTTTCATATGCAGAGAAAGAATGAAAAGTAGGGCAGGTTTTAATGTGAAGACATAACAATTCTTTGTAGCAATTTGTACAAGAAGAAAAATAGGTAAGATTTCCCACCTTTATTAAAGACCAGCCCTGTTGATAAAAGCAATTTTTGTTTTTTTAAGAAACAACTGATAATCCCAAATACTCAAGATTTTGCCCCAGCAGGTTTCTGAAAAGTTCTGGTAGGATAGAGACTGATTGAGTCTCCAGTCCTATGAGGTCACAAAATCGTGTGGATTTATTTGTGTAAGTAAGGACTTGTACTCCCTGAAAAAGCCAAAGGAACCGGAGTCAGGAGTCTTCAGGTCAGAAGGATATGATTATGGAGGAATGGTTTCAGGTAGCCTATGCAAAGTAACAAATGATTAATTAGTTACTGCTAACTGGTTTTGGGAGTGAAAAGTGCAAAGTATAAAAAGTTTTTATACTTCTGGGGCCACCCATGCTGGCCCCAGAAGTATAAAAACCTGCCCTATGCTGGCCCAGCAGTATAAAAAGCTGCCCAGGTGAGCAGCTCAGGGCTACTTGCCCTCAGGAGCTTCCAAGGCCCAGCCACTTGGTATCTGGGGACACTCCCCCGTGTGCCAGCTGAACTGCTGAAGCAGCCCTGACCTGGATTGGCTCCTGCCCCCTCTACCCACTGTAGCAGTGTGGCAGCAGGGGCTGCTGCCTGGCTGTGACCTGCTGCCACCTGCAACAGCATCTACCCCTTGGACCTGCGACCCCATGGCTGCACGCCTGCCAGACCTGGATGGGGTGCCCATGCTCTGCCATCTGGGCAGCTATTGCCCAGATGTACTCCTTGTGGTGGCCCGCTCTGAACTGTCCAACTGTGTCCTCTTGGCCCCAAATAGCCAGCAGGTCAACCACCTTATCTGCCCTCCAGCTGGGTCCCCAAAACTGGCCCTGGACAGGCTCCTCTGCCCAGGTCTCACCACTTGTCTCACCAGCAGAGATCCTGGTGTTCCCTGTTTAAAAAATTGTGAATTCTCTGATAAGAAACCCAAATTCTCTAATTAAAATACCCAAAATAGTGTTCTTTCGCTATTAAAATGAAATGCCACTATATATAGAAAGATCAGTGGGCAATATTTTATTGATATATTTACAAGTTTAAAGCAATTTGGAAGCCTACCAGTGCCTGTATCATCATAATAAATTCTAAACGTCTATACACTTTGGCATTTACTTTTGGATTTTTGTCATAGAAAAATCAGAGCCACCCCTACCCTCTTCGTTCACCAGGATGTGCAGCACTGGTCTGCCAGTTCCCTGCCCCTGCCCTTGCCCCTCACTTTCAACCCACAGCCTGCCCCCTGCCCCAGTCCCCTCACCCCTGACCCACAGGGCCAGGTATGTGGGTGAGGGGTTTGTGGGGGTGGTTTGGGGGTGTGGGGTTTGTGGGTGGATTGTAGGGGTACTGTGAGTGTGGGAGACTGTATGGGGGGGCTGCTCAGGAGGTGTGGGTCCCCTGCCCTCCACAAGGCACAGTCCCCCCCGCACAGCTCATGAACTGCCCCTGCCCAGGGGCCACAGCTCCACCCACAGGGGCTACAGCCCCCCTCGCAGGGCCAAAAGCCCACCTGAAAGAGTTACAAAACACGCCCCCCCCCGCAGGGGTAGAGCCCCCACTGCAGGGCCCAGAGCTCCTACAGGGGCCACAGCCCCCTTCTCCCTGCAGGGCCCACATGCTCCCCTGCAGGACCTAGAGCCCCCCGCCCCCCCTGCACAGCCTCACCCCAACCCCACCCCCGACACATGGCTTACAGCTCACCCACAGTAGCAGTAGCCATCGGGGCACTCAGGGCCTCCTGGCATAGTGCAGGGCAGTGCAGCTCAGCCCCAGCAGCCTGGCACCCGGCACTGCCTCTGCCACAAATATGCAACATGGGGAATTTTTTTTTTGTTCTCAGCGTGCCTCTTGTGTCTCAAACTGCTTTGAGACGTAGCAGGAGGCATGTGCGGGCTTGTCTGGACACCCCCACGATGATTATGAATATTATACTTAAATTACTATAGCAATTAAATCAGTATCTGAAAGGACAGGATGTTTTCCAGAGCAAAATTAAATATATTTACTTGTTTATCAATAGTCACTTTGTTCTAATAGATCAGAATAGGCTTTAATGAACTTTGTTATAACACGATTTAACAGATACAAACACATGTGAAGTCACTCTTGTAAACTGGATATGTCACCTGTTCTATGTAAGCAAACCAAACAGTTCATGGTAATTTTTTTGCAGCCATTTGAACCTAGAACTCAGAAGAGGCTGAACTGCCAACTAAGTTATCACTATTCTATAGTTAGGTTTTAGATGAGTCTTCCAGAATGAAAACACCCGACTATGTGACCCAGAATGGGATTCACTCTCATGGAAGTGCCATGCTCCGAACAGCAATCCCTGCTGATCCTGGGAACGCTGGGAGCCAGCGGGCACAACGCTGGTTGGAGCAGCCTGCGCGGTTAGGGTAACAAGCACCGTCTACCATCAGCTTGTGACAACTGGGGAGTAACCAGGTAGGGCGCAGCAGCGCACAGCCCAGCTCCTGACTTGCTCAAACACTTTTGGACAGGAGGGTTTAAGGCTGGATGGATTCCTATTAGAAAAGCCGCATACACTGGCAGTATTCCTGGGAAGGCTTTGCAACTACTTTTATGCCTTTAGGAAACCATCTGTCTGGCTCCCTACTCATTTATTTTGCCCAAATCAGTACCTGCTGTGGCAGTTTTTCCTCTGCTTTGTGGGTCTCTCTTTCTCACTGAACAAATCTCCCGCCCCCCAGCTTGCCGATCCCTCTGCCAGTTCCCTGGCTCCTGCTCCGCGCACCGACGAGTTGTGAAGGGAGCGGCAGGGCGGGAGCTCTGCAGAAGTCAAGCAAGACACTTTACTTGGAGGTGTTTGTTTTGAAACCTTTGACATGAACCCGCCGCTTTCCGGCCCCTTCCTCTTTTCTCCCCGCAAGACGCACACTTCCTCGCCCGCGGGGCCGGCCCCGCCCTCACGCCGCCCAGCAAGGAAACCACAAGGTACAAACAGACTCCCCACGTGGCCCCTCCCGCCTCGCACATCCGGGTCACTTCGCATCTACTTCCGGGGCGGGGCGCTGCCTTCCAGCCCGGCCCCTCCCCTGTCCTCCGGGGGCGTGGGCTGGGCTGAGCTAGGCCTTCCCGAGTCGCCCCGCGGGTGGGCGGCGAGAAGCGGAGATGAGCGGCGCGGAGCCGGCCGCGGGGGAGGCGGGAGCCTCGCTGGAGCCCCCCGGCCCGCGGCCCCTCGCGCCAGGTACGAGCGGGGCTCAGTCCCCTCCTGCGAGCCCGGCCTGGCCGCCTGCTGGTGTGGGGGGAGCCTGTGACATGTGCGGGGGGCACGGGGTGACTCGAGAAGGGGACGGGAGCGAGGGGCAGAGGCTCGGAACGAGCGAGCTCACCGCCGGCCCTCCGGCAAGTGCTAGGAGCCAGTGGACGTTGCCCAGTGAAACTGCCCCAGACGTGGGCGGAGCGGGGACAGGCCCGCAAGCTCTGGAGGGCCTCCACCCGCAGCCTCCTTCAGGGCCAGGTGCATCAGAAGCCCGGCTCCGGATTTGGTGGGGCCAGGGGTGGGGAGGGCCTGAACAAGAAGGTACAGCCAGGGCCTGAGCTGGAGGAAGTGGTGCAGGGGCTGCAGGCGGGTGCCCTCGTAGATGTCCATGGAGCTCCACTGATCTGAGAGGTCTTCCTAGCTGTGCTTACAAATAAGCATTTTAATCTGTTTTTTTTGGTTGTTTTTTTTAAAAAACAACTGGGTACTGCAGAAATTATGTGGGGCCCCTCAGCACAAGCCCTCAACAAGAGCTCCACGCACAGGCATAAATGTTGAGGGAGGGTCTAGGTACAAGGAGGTGAAAGACAGAGTCCTCTATGATTTACATTATTGGCTCTCAGAAGTTTAAGCTGGTCAAGTGATAGAGCTGGTATAACTGGTTTCTTTTCTTCTTTGTCTTGGTACGTTGAACGGTCACTTCAGATTGTTTTGTAAGTTTTTTGGTTTTTTTAATAGTTGATCAGCTCTCTTCTCTCATCTGCTTTTTTTCCCATATTGTAGCTTGGCATGAACTTCTACTATGAGGAGGGGGGACAAGCATAAAGTATTAAGAATTTGAAATCTGTGTTTCATTGCAGACACCCCAAATTAGGCTTTAATGTGTAAAATCTTATTGACTTAAGAAATATTTAAATGGTGGCATCAATTCCCAGTGCTTGTTGGTGCAGTTCTAATGATACTGTTTCTTGGTGCAGGCTCTAATGATGCATCTCCAGATGAAGGACTAGTTGAAGATCTGTGTCTTGTAGACGAGAGAGCTGTGGAGCAGCTAACCGAAGGATTGATTTCTCATTATTTGCCTGATCTTCAGCAATCGAAGCAAGCTCTACAAGAGCTCACGTAAGCAAAATTAGAAAAGCATCTTTTTGTACTTCCATGCATTTTCTCTGTGGAATTCATCGGTAGAAATGCTTATGTTTACAGAAGCTGGTAAAATTTTATTATAGTATGGTCTTCATATAGAAGACTTGCTTTGAGCAAAAAACCTGCTGTGTCATCTACCAGAATTTACACTGAAAGTGTTTTTAAAATTAAACACTGAAAACCCCTAAGTTGTTCCTGCTTCTAAATACCATATTTACTTGAATGTAAGATGAGGTTTAAAGCTCCTTGTCTTGCATTCACATCCACGGAAACCTCATTAACTACATGGTCTATCTTTGAATTGCTGCTAAAAGCAGCATGTTATTCAGTAATGGAAACCAACTAGGATTTTGATTAAATGCAGCCAACACTGAGCATTACTATAAAACACATGGCCCATATTGGGCAAACGCACTGATGCAAACCTTTTTAATTCAGAAAATATAAAATATATATTTCTCTCTCCACACTGCCTCCTTTTGTCAATATCTCACAATAAACAATATCATACATGAATCAATAATGAATGAGACAATCGTGGGAACTTCCCGTCTCCTTTCTCCATCACAATTTCTTCACAATTGGATCACCAGATCTTCTTCATACATAATCATCAATTCAATCCAAGACAATACATTTTGCTCTTTTCTCATACAGGTTCTTGGGACACTTTCAACATTTATAATACATCCTCATATTTTACACAATCTTTCCCTGTGGTCTCGTATTTTCCTTCTTTTTATTTGCCTTTAACACATTTTTCCACACCTCTTTATTTATAGCATACACAATTCACTTTTGTTTCAGTACTACTGTTTTCCCCACTTTCCGTTTTCACCTTTCCCTTTCCCTGATTCCCGACGCATTTCCTTTCCCTCCTCTCTCTCCCTTCTTCTTTTCTT